ACAGAGGAGAAGCTCTATTGCAAACATTGAATATGGAAAATTAATGATGAATGAGCTGGAGTTCCTGAGGTCTAAAGGTAGACTTAAAGAAACTGCTACATTTAGCCTGGAGAAGAGAAGACAGGTGACACATATTAACTGTCTTTGAAATATACTTGAACATTTGAAGGGCTGTCTTATAGAAAAGGGATTAGACTTCTTCTGTTTGACCCCAGGGGTAAACTAGAAGCAATGTGTGAGGCTGCAAGTAGGCAAATTTAGACTCAACAGAAGGAAAAACCTCCTAATAATTAGAGTTATTCCAAAGTGGAAAGCATTGCCTCAGAAAGTAAATTCCTGTCTCATGGGAGGTCTTCAAGAAGTAGCTGAATGACCATTCATCAGCTCTGATGTATATTGCTGTATATGAATATCAGCTCTGATATATTGGACAAGATAACCCCTACATATCCTTCCAACTCTGAAATCTCAGATTCTGTGAACTGAATACATTTGGGGAGGAAGGAGGGAAGAAAAAAAGGAAGGAAGGAAGCACTTATTTAGTGACTTTTTCCAGAAACAAGACACATCATCTCTTGACTTTGGGCATTTTCTCTGTCTGGCCTCCATACCTGGAATACTCTCCTTCCTTATCTCTGCCTACTGGTTTCCCTCACTTCCTTTAAATCCCAACTAAAACAGCATCTCTATAGGAAGCCTTTCCCAACTCTTCTTAATTCTAATGCCTTCCCTCTCTTATTTACCTCTTAATTATCCTGTGGATAGCTTGTTTGTACATATGTGTTTGCTTGTTTTCTTCTACCTTAGATTGTGAGCTTCTCAAGGGCAATGGCTGTCATTTGCCTCTTTTTTATCCCTAGAGCCTAGCACACAGTAGATGCTTAATAAATGTTTACTGACTGACCATGTACCCAGGGTCACATACCCAGTAAATGTCTGAGGCTAGATTTTTTTTAACTCAGATCTTTCTGACTCCAGGCCCAGTATTCAAAACATTGTGCCTTTTAGATATCTGAAGAAGAAAAAAACGAGTCATCATTCAATTATAGATTAAAAATATATATTAAACAATTGCTGCATTGCTATGAATTGGCTAGGCAGTGGAGATGCAGACATAAGAGAAATAGCCAAGGAATTTAGATTCTATTAGGGGAAATTACATGAACACATTTAAGAAGATACAAAATAAATGAAAAGCCATATTTTGGGAGAAAAAACACTACTACCTAGGGTCAAAAGGAAGGCCTTATGTTAGGTAGTTCTTCACTTAAGTTTTGAAGGAGAAAGGAATTCTAAGAGATGGAGTGGTTGAGCAAATACTGTGGTTCAGCCATAAAGGCAAAGCCTGTGCAAAGGCTCAGAAATGAAATGAAGTCTGTCCTATGTGAGAAATAGAAAAAAAAAAAGCCTGTTTAATTGCTACATAGAATGTGTGAAAGGAGTGTGCTGAAGCCAGCCCCAACTGGCTCACCAGAGCCAGAACCAGTTGTTAGATTTTCAGTGTGAACATTTACCCCTCGAAAACTAGCAAATGCTACAATATCAGGGCCTGATTCATTGTTTTATTGCTTGCCCAGGATTAAGGAAGTAATAGAGAAAATGGTAAAAATGCAGATTAAACTTAAAAGTTTCCTTTCCTCAAGTTCCTCTCCACTGTAGGACATCTTCCAAAGTATAGGTCTGACTCTGTCACCACCCCAACCACCCTCATTAAATAAACTCCAGTGGTTCCCTATTACCTCCAAGATCAAATATAAAATTTTCTGCTTGCTTTTTTTAAATTCTTCATAATTTGGTCTTTTCCTACATTTCCAGTCTTCTTACATTTTATACTTTACCACCTCTCCATCCTCTTTAATCCAGTGACCTAAGACTCTGCTGTTCCTTATACAAAACACTCTATCTCTGACACTGTATTTTCCCTAGCTGTCCCCCCCCATGCCTAGAGTTCTCTCCATTCCACTCTCCTGGCTTCCCTGACTTCCTTCAGGATCCAGAATAAGTCCTACCTTTTGCAAGAAAACTTTCCTGAGCCTCCTTAATGCCAGTGCCTTCCTTCTGTTGACTATCTCCAGTTTTTCCTATAATTCTCTCAGTAAACTGTAAGCTCTTTGAGAAGAGGAATTGTTTTTGGTTTGTTTGCTCTTACCTTTTTTTGCATCCCCGTCATTTAGCACAATGTCATATATAGTAGACATTCACCCATAATGGGTGAAAGGATGGTTATAAGGATGGTTCCACATTATGAAAAGCTTCCTAACAATTACAGCTGCCATACAGCCCCAGGGATGCAGCACTGGGCCTGGAGTCAGGAATATTCCATCTTCCTGAGTTCAAATCTGGCCTCAGACACTTACCAACCATGTGATCCTGCAGAAGTCACTCAACCCTGTCTGCCTCAGTTCCTCATCTGTAAAATGAACTGGAGAAGGAAATGGCAAAAACTAAACAAGCTATTGTGTGGAGCAGTGATTGGGCTAAATAAATGACTTCTAAGACGTCAAAATATGAATTTGCCTCAAAAGAAATTGGGATTTTTTTCCCATCAATGTAGGTCTTCATGTGAAGTTTGTTAACCTTTGTTGAGGACATTGTTTATAACCAAATAGAAAAGTAAATTGCATTTATGTCTCTTCCATGCCTTCCAACTTCTTACTTATACTACATGGGAAGGACAATTTTTAAATTAACGTTTAAATCAGAACAAATCACTTTTCATGTACAGCATGGATCCACTTAACCTAAGTTATTAGAATACTTTAAAATTTAAATTTGATTAAAATTTGAGATGAATAAAAATGATAGTAGGAATTCCATTAAGCCACAGTTTTCTTTTATTAAAATCTTGATCTGATGACAGTTTGAGAAATATATAACATTTTACAACATGATTACTCAATAACTTCCCCCTCTTTGCTGGTAGTTAGATGTTTTGATTATTTTTGTCTACATAAGCTGTACAATGAGTCAAAAGTCCCCATATATTAGAAGCCTTCAGTTAAATCTCTGGAGAACACAGAGCTGATTTATAATGCTATTACTGTCATGGGTTTCACTTGTAGGTTTTCTCCTCGACACCAAGCACTAAGACCGTATCTGGAGAAACAAACGACTCACTTTAATGTGCTATATCCTTACAAAGTTTATCTAAAGTCATGTTCTGCCTTGCACTTTTTGGATGATGTCTTCCCAAGGTCAAAGAAAACCAAGCCCTCCATATAGTGGACAGAGAGAATAAAATAAGTCAGAATACTGACAAGGCACCATTAGAAGAAAGCTTCGGTTCTCCTGCTTTCTTCAATCTCTTTTTTTTCTTTTTTATTCCTTTCATGTTGACTCTCATTACTCATATTTTGGCATCTCCACGAAGATTGTTAACTGTTGATGAGCAAGCTGCTGCTATCAATAGTAATGAGAGTGATTATGAGCATGATGAGTTATTCAAGTGCCAATAATGTGAAAAGTGCTATATAGATCATACAGTTAGAAACACATCCTGTCCTGCCATTGGCATTTATAATTCAAACCAGACAGATGGGCAAGAAACAAGCAAAGGAAGGTGGTTAGCCATCTGCCATGCTGTATGTACCAGGCAAGGAGTCTGATTGTCTTTGATTTGAACAAGTCTTTATTTAGCACCTGCTGCTGGTCCAGAGCTGTGCTAGGAACCTTGGAGGAGCCAGGAGGATAAAAAAAAACACAAAAACAAAAACAGAGATTCAGAGCTAGAAAGTACCTCAGAGGCACTTCAGTTCAACCACCTCCATTTATAGTGAGGAAACAATTCTCATTACTTCACTTGATCCTCACAACAACCTTGGGGGGTGGGCGGTATTATTATCCCCATTCTGCAATGGAGGAAACTGAGAACAGGATAGCATTTTTTAAAAGATAAACGTGGCACTATGCCCTGGAAAATTGAATGCTATGGAGCAATAGTCACAAAACACTGTTACAATGCTGGCAAATGCTGAGTGAATAAATGAACAGTCTTGAAAGGATGGAGCACTGGGCCTGGAGTCAGGAATATTCCATCTTCCTGAGTTCAAATCTGGCCTCAGACACTTGCCAACCATGTGATCCTGCAGAAGTTACTCAACCCTGTCTGCCTCGGTTCCTCATCTGTAAAATGAACTGGAGAAGGAAATGGCAAACCACTCCAGTATCTTTGCCAAGAAAACCCCAAATGGGGTCACAAAGAGTTGGACACAACTAAAAAATGACTGACCAACAACAACGTAAAAATAATTTCTCAGAGTCTTCCATGCCAAGTTGGAAAAAATGAGGCACTAATAGTTCTTTTGTTTTCAAATTTCTTCCTTTTATACATTTAGTGTAGTGGCTGACACTTTAAATGTACTTTGTGCTTGGAACACAATGCTGTATCATTTCCCCCCTGTGTGGAACACAAGAGTTCTTGCCATCTGAATTCTCCAAAGCAGAACTCTCTATATAGACTCTCTCTATATAGGTGGGACAAGCAGTTGGCTCTGTGTATGCCAAAATTCTCATCCAAGCTCAGCAATACTTCTCCAACTGGCCTACTGCAGAGCCTCATATCTCCAGAATTAGACTCATTCTTTCTGACTGAGTAATGGATAGACTAAGACAAGACTCTTAAAGTAACTACTATGATAAAAAAACGTGGATTTGTTTATCAGTTAAAGTAACTGACATAAATGATCTCAACGGTCCATCAAATCATGCCGTTAGAGCTGAAAGGGATTCTTTGACAGATATCCTGTAGTCTAGCCCCTTCCTTAGACAGATGTAAGCTCCTTGAAGCCAGGGACCATCTTCTGCTTCTTTTTTATCCCTGATGCTTAGCACAGTATCTGGAACAAAATAGGAGCTTAATAAATGTTCATTGATTGACAGATAAGGAAACCCAAGGCCCAGAGAGGTCAGGTTACTTTCCAGAGGTCACATGATAAGAATGCAACTAGGGAAGTAAGTTTATCTTTTGGGAGTGATCAATATACAGAAAAAAGCCTGGGAAGTGTAGGCCTAGCTGGTGACAGGCAGGCAGAGGGTAGCTTAAAGGTACTTAATGTCTTTGAAATGGGACGGTAGGAGTTAGATATCTGGAAGAAGAAGGAAGGCCATCAAACCTAGAAGAGAGGTGGTGCACTGAAGGGAATGCTGCATTTGGTGGCAGATAACTTCTGATCTTCTATTTACTAGCTGTGAGATATTTGGCAAGTTGTTTTGTCTTTGAAGGCCTCAGTTTTCTCATCTATAAAATGAAGAGGAAGGTTGAGTAGCTGACTCTGAAGATTATTTTTTGTTTCTGTTTTTGTTTTTTTTTTAGCTAAACAGTGGGGCTAAGTGACTTGCCCAGGGTCATACAGCTAGTAAGTGTCAAGCGTCTGAGGCCGAATTTGAACTCAGATTCTCCTGACTCCAGGGCTGGTGCTCTATCCACTGTGCCACCTAGCTGCCCCTGAAGATTATTTTTTAATCTTCTATTTAGAAGACGAGGTAGCCCTTTCCCAAGTTCCTACCCAATAAATGTCTCAGAAGGGGGGTCAGTAATTAGCAGTGCCATAGGACTGAGGAAGGGTAGATAGCTTCTTGTTGTTTCATAAGGCTGGACCATTTTTTGGGTTCAAAACTGGCCTACCCTTTTTTGTGTGTGTGAGGCAATTGGGGTTAAGTGACTTGCCCAGGGTCACACAGCTATTAAGTGTCAAGTGTCTGAAGGCCAGATTTGAACTCAGGTCCTCCTGACTCCAAGGCTGGAGCTCTATCCGCTGCACCACCTAGCAGCCACGTGGTCTTTTTCTAAGCAGCATCCTCAGGGCACTTCAAAGACTGACATTCTGACCCTCAGGGGGAGCTAAGGAGCAGGCTACTGAGTCAAAGAGGACAGATGAGATTTCACTGGGACCTACTGGAAGTTCTTCCTTTTGTCTCAGTGCTGGTGCTGCCCTTTCTTGCAGTCAGTTCGAGGGCTGGACGCTCTCCTTTTTGGCTCCTTCTCTCCTTCATCTTTTTCCTCCATCCCTCCCTGTTCTCTTCTTCTTTCCTCCCATCTTGTCTGCCTTCTTCCCTCCCTTTTCTCTCCTTCTTTCCCTCTCTCTTCTTCCTATCTACCTCCTTCCTGATTTTGCTCCCCCACTCTTTTTTTACCCTGGTTACCTTTCTCCCTTTACCGTTCTCCCTTTTTTCTCTCTCCTCTCCTTTTACCCTCCCCCCAATTTCTCCCCTTTCTCCCTTCTTTTCTTTTTCTCTTTCATAGTGTAAGCTATGAGAACTCCAGTCAAGGTTTCTAATGTGACCTAGGAATGGAATAGATTTGTAAAATAACCCCATCTTATTCGCAGGAATGCTCGCGTATCAGTACATTTAGGGTTATTTTTTTAAATTATATCCTCAATGTATGAGTAATTTTTGATAGATTTGGTGTTGATCTGGAAATTTCCCAAAAAATCCGTGTGCTTACAAGACCAAATTAAGTGTTTCTTTCCCTCTGTCTCTCTCTCTCTCTCTGCCTCTCTCTCTCTGTCTCTACTCTCTCTGTCTTTCTCTTTCTCTCTCTATTCACTCTCTCTCTCTTTATCTCTGTCTCTGTCTGTCTTTCTCTTTGGCTCTTTCCCTGTCTCTGTCTCTCTGTGTCTCTTTGTGTGTGTGTGTGTCTCTCTCTCTGTCTCTGTCTGTCTGTCTCTCAAAATCAAGAGAGTTTCTTTGTTGAATGAGGTTTTCACATGGCTCACTGTTAATTGACTGGCAAGGGGAAGCCATTGAGCCCTCAGATCCCTTCTGGGAAGAGTATTCAAAGCACTCTCCCATTTCTTTTCCTCCCTTCCCCAGACATAATACAAGAAAAAAAATTCAATAAAGTATTTTCATGTGTTTGGAGCTGAGCCAGATGAATTATGTTAGCCAACTCTCAAATTATCCTTTATAATGGAGAACAGGGATTGCCTGACAAACTAATTTGAAGAAAAAATTCCCATTAGCTTGGCGTGGTCAACAGTTTATATCGTTTCACTCTTGCCAAATTTTCTCATACTTGTGGTTAATAAGTTGCCGAATGTTGGATTATGTGAGATTTCAAGTCCCTTCTCTCTCTCTCTGAGCCTCAGTTTCCTAATTTATAAAATGATGTATTTGGACTAAATGATCTCCAGAGGCCTTTCTGGCTCTTACATAGCCTGTGTGTTATGGCATCTCTTCTCTTTTCCTTCCCTAATCACTTGGGACCCTGCCATTCTGTCAGTACTCCCTCAAATCTCTTTGATACCTCTTCCCATTTTCAAAATATGGCAAATCCCATGGGAGCATTTTAGGAAAACACACCATTTGGAAAGAACTGCTGATATCCTAAAAGAAATTTCAAGGATTTGGGACAGTAACCTTCCTTGTGGTCTTTTGGTAATGTACTCTCTCAAATTTTCCTTTTCAGTTCTTTCTCCCCTTTTTCTTTCCTTTATTTTTTTTTAGAATGATTCTTCCCCCTGCAATTTCCTAGGAATTCAAAAATTAAAGGGTGAACTAAAAATTAGCTGGGTCTCTGAACTTAGATGTTTGGAAGAAATGGGGGAAATGTCCCTTCCTTTCTGTGCCCAGATAGGAAATCATGGGAGTGTAATACAGTCCCTCAAAGTGTGATTTAGTATCACTGAACTACTTTTTTTTAACTTTTTTTTAAAATTCTACTTCATAAGGGACAACTCAATGGGTGAGAGGAAAAGAGCTATATTTAAAAATTATATTAATATAAAAATAAAAGATCATTTTAAAAACTGTTTATAAAAAATGAGCTGGGTCTTAACTTTCCTGCATTCTAGAAATATATAAGCCTAAGTTAGAAACAAAACTGTGAAAAATGCTGAGAAATGTGGACATCTGATTCAAAGCAGGCACTTATTTACCTCCTGCCCCTTTAGGAATATTTTAAGGATATATTAGGTAATGTTTATGAGGTGCTTTGAAAATAAAAGCTATCATGGAAATATAATTCATATCATATAATTCATACACCCACTATTCTTCTCAAAAATACAGCATCCTGCAACTCATTTAGACAAATAAATGTCTTCACTGCCCTTCAGATTTCTTTTCCCACTGAAACAAATATTGGGTGCCATGAGGTAACATTAATAGCTCAAACTGAGGCAACTAGGTGGCGCAGTGGATAGAGCATCAGCCCTGGAGTCAGGAGGCCCTGAGTTCAAATCTGACCTCAGACACTTGACACTTACCAGCTGTGTGACCCTGGGCAAGTCACTTAACCCCAATTGCCTCACCAAAAGAAGCTCAAATTTACATAGAGCTTTAAGGTTTACAAAGGGCTTTCCTCACAACAACCTTGTGAAGTATATAGTATAGGTATTATTATTCCTATATTATAAATAGATAAGAAAACAGAATCTCAGTGAGGTTAAGAGAGTTGATTAAAGTGTCATAGTTTGTAAGTACCAGAGCGAGGCTTCATTCCCACAGTTTCTAGACTTCTAATCTAATGCTCTTTGACAAACAGGGCAAGGAAATTCTCCCAGTGCTATAGGTCAGGAGCTGGAAAGGCCCTCACAGGAAGCCATCTAGTCCCAACTTCCTCATGTTTACAAACATGGAAACTAAGACCCAGAAGAACAGTGAAATGACTTGCCCAAGGTCACATATGTGGTATGTGGCAGAATATGAACCAAGGTCGTCTGATTCCAAAGCCAATGGCCTTTCTCCTTTACCATGCTTCCTCCTGATGCCCATTACCATTTCTCCCCACTCTTCCTCCCATATCAGGAATTCTTAACCTGGGGTAAAATTTCAGGCATCTGTAAATTTAGATGGGAAAAGAAATAAATCTTTATTTTCATTAATCTTTTGCTTCCATTCTAGTCCTATGTGTTTTCTTTTATGCATCTAAAAATATTATTTTGAAAAAGAGTTCATTGGCTTTACCAGACTGTGTAAGGGGTCCATGACATAATAAAGGTTAGCGACAGCTAGGTGGCACAGTGGATCGAGCTCTGGCCTTGGAGTCAAGAGGACCTGAGTTCAAATCCAGCCTCAGACACTTGACACTTACTAGCTGTGTGACCCTGGGCAAGTCACTTAACTGCAATTGCCTAAGCAAATAATAAAAACAAAGACATAATAAAAGTTAGGACCTCCATTCCTAGGTAGAGTTTTTATGAGGCAGTGAACCTACTGTGTGTAGAGCACAACTGAGCACCTACTATATGCAAGAAGCTATGCTAATAGTTAATTCATTCTGGAGCCAATGATACTACATTTCAATTCAATAAGCATTAAACACCCACTATTCAGATAGTGAATGTTAGTTTACCAATAATGAATGCTGTTCAGAGCATTATGCTACTTACCAGAGGAAATCTGAACTTTAAGTAAGGTCTTTGCCTTCATGAAGTTTGCAATATACTTTAGAGATTTTAACCTAAGGTTCATGAGTGTGTGTGTGTGTGTGTGTGTGTGTGTGCACATGCATGCGTGTGTTTTAATATTTGGTAAGTGTATTTCAGTATAATTGATTTTCTCTTGTAATCCTATGCATTTTATTTTAAGCATTTAAAAATATTCTAAGGAGTCCATAGGGCTTCACTAGACTTCCAAAGGAGGCTATTGCACATGCATACACACACACACACACATACACACACACACATACACACAAGTGAAGAACTCTTGCATTAGAGAAATATAGCATATACATAATTAACATATAATATAACATGAAAATCAAGATAGGCATACAACAAGGAGAAATTTGTTCACCAGTTTTTACAGTGACAGGAGATGTCCTGAGCAAAATCCAAATACAAGAAAGATACCCTGTCTATGTTGAGATTCTTCAGATATTCAGGGATTTGAGAGCATTCTGATTTTATGATCCCTAGAATACTATAGGGCCTTCCAAGTGGAAACTTCATTTCCTCTCAGCTGCTGCTCAGTTTGGTTTAGAGTACCTGCTGCCTCAAGGCCAGATGTGGTCTTCTAGGTCCAAGGGAGGCTTTTGACTTGGTGGGACTATGAGAGCTGAGTTGAAATGTGAATCCCCTCCCAGAGGATGAGGTTGTATAAAAGTGATTATTTCTTTCACATGTTGAGGGGATGAGGGAACTAAATATTTGTATGATTATTTTTACTATACTGTGAAAGTAAACATTCCTTTGTAAAAGCTAATCTGACTGTTAAGTGGTTAAATGGGACTGGGATACTAGAGACCCCCTAAAATTGGGGAACACAATCAATGGGTCTTGTGTCAATCACATAGACTAGACATTCACTCCTAATTCCTTTAAAGGTCCAGAAGAACCCTTAAAGAGAGAGAGAGATGAAAAAGAGAAAAGGATGGAATGTATGTAACATACTTGGGCTTCAGGCAATGAGGGAGAGGGTCAGAGAAATAACTGCTACATATTAAGAAAAAATAAAAGTTCACAGACCCCTGATCTGGATCAATCACCTTATTTTGCTTAGGAGATAACTGACTGTTTTCATGTACAGTATCTCCCTTTGTTTATTATGGCTGAGATTTTCAAAAGTGAGAAGTGGTCCATGCCTCTCTGGACCTCTGGGCCACTTTAATTTTGCTCCAAGATTATTGGTTTGATTTCAGGGCCCAGAACTGAAACCCTGCTTCTCCAAGGCAATTGGAAAATTAATCCTATCTTATTTGCTATTTTTTTTAAAACCCTGTCATATGACTTCTCTTGTGGGAAGAAGATGGGGCTTTATTCTCTTCCTCTTTCCCCTTCTTCCCTACTCTACTAGCTTCTTTTCCTCTAGATCTTTAGACCAGAAAAACAAAACAAGTTGAGATTAGAATCTTAAAATGTGATTCACTAGGACTTGAATAGGCCTGAGGCAAGGGCTATTTCTTTTTGTTCTTCATTTGTGGTCTGCTCTTTCTCCTGGTGTCAAAAAATAGAAAGTGGAAACATTATGGGGTAATCAAAACTTTCCCAGAATTCACTTTGGAGTTCCAAAACCCAAGCTTCAATCTCATTGGTGCTCCTCATTACCTGAATGCCCCACTCAACTGAAAATTAAAACCAAGCAGCAAAAAGGCAATAAACGTCTCTCAGAGAGCCTAAGCAAAGGGTAACTTAAACAAAGTCCTTTTCACAGTACAAGAATCCTATTTATGAAGCAGATGACACAATGCCAAGGGTAGTAGGAAAATAGGAAGGACAGAAAACTCTTCTTCAGAAGGAAGTGGATTTACTTATCTCTAAAAGGAAAGAGTTTATAGGCTTGGGGCCTAGGATAGACCTTAGAAGTCACCTAGTCAATTAACAAGTATTTAAGTGCTTACTATGTGTTAGGTCAATCAATCAATCAAGAAGTACAGTATTTGTGAACTCCTTGTTAGGTGCTAGGCACTGTGCTAAACTCTAAATATACAAAGAGATGCAGAAACACATACCCTACCCCTCAAGGAGCTCACATTCTAATATGGGAAACAATACAAAAAGAACTATATTCATTTTTGGGGGGTGAGGCAATTGGGGTTAAGAGACTTGCTTAGAGTTGCACAGCCAGTGTCAAGTGTCTGAGTCTGAATTTGAACTCAGGTCCTCCTGACTCCAGGGCTGGTGCTCTATCCACTGTGCCACCTACCTACCCCATCAAATATCTATATTCATATAAGGCATAGATATATGAGATATATGGCTACAGCTATAGTTGTAGATATAGGCATAGACATAGACAGATACAGATAACACCAATATGGATATTGATATAGATGTTGTAAATGAGAAGTAATCGCAGAGGAAAGACATGGGGTTTGAAATGGGGGTGGAGGGAACAGAATGGGAAAACCTCCCGAAGAAGGTAATATTTCAGCTGAGTCTTTAAGAGGTGCTATGGGTAGAAAAATAAAAACAAAACAGTATGTGCCCTTAAGGAATTTACAGTATATCAGAATAAAAGTTATTCATTCAGGACAGCTAGGTGGTACAGTGGATAGAGTACTGAGCCTCAAACACTATGTGACCCTTGGCAAGTCACCTAATTTTTGTTTGCCCTTATTACCTCATCTAAAGCAGGGATAATAATTGTACCTACCTCCCAGGGTTATTTTGAGGATTAAATGAGATAATGTTTATAAAATATTTAGCTCAGTGCCTGACACTTATAAGGTACTATATAAATGTTAGTAATAATTATTATCATGATTATGATTATCATTATCCCATTAGAATCTTTGTAAACAAGTTGACGCTTCTCTGGGTTTAGTTACTTTTTGCCTCTCTAAAGGATTATGTTTTTGAAACAGAGAACATTTCTATGGTATTAAATTTTTAGTTAGGGAAAAAAGTACATCTTCCCACCACCCACTTACCCCATGAGGTTTCAGCTATTCTTTATACTGGGCTAAAATGAACAAGTTACTTGGCAAACAAAATCTGACACCAAACAAATCATTAAACCAAGTAGCAAAAAGGCAACAGAAAGTTGTATTGTGTATCTCAAGGGGCCTAACCATGCAACATCGGCAAAGTACTTTCCTAAGGCACAAGTACCTTTAATGGAGGAGAGGTTTTAAAAACCAAAGGACTCAGGAAAAGAGAAAAAGGCACAACTTTGCTATGTTGAGCAAGAGTGCTGCTTCCTGTGGAACCAACCAGCATGAAATCTGCACTTCAAAAGAATAAAAATAAAAATCTGTCTGCAGCTGCATCTTTGGCATGTTCCATTTCTGCCCTACGCTAGAAAATGTGTTCAAGTCATGGGTTATGTTTATTAACAAGCATCTCAGCTGGGCCAGAGGAAGTAGTAGTCCAGGAGTTTACAAGATGAATGTTCTCAGAAATGTGCTTTGTCAGTGTTTTAGGATTTCCAAAGATGAAAAGATAGGGGCTTTGCCCAGGGACCTATATTCATTGACAGGAAATGACCCACCACTCCACATTATCAGTCTTGCCATAATCCCTTATCATGACAGCGCTTTCTACTTTTCCAAGTACTTTCATATATATTATCTCAAAGGAGCAGTTGTACTTGCCCACTAAGAAGTAAATATTAGCCATCTCTATGGTGGGGGAAAGGGAAAAAAAGGAGAAAAAAGAAAATATAAAAGAAATTTACATAATAACTTTCTCTTATATTTAAAAGGAATAACAAGTTGTACATAATAGATTTGCAGTTTCATGTGCAATCTTTTTTTTATTATACTGTGTTATGGAAATGCTTGTTTTATTCCATAAATTAAAAACATCAGAAGCAATTTTTAAAAAGTAATTATGAATTTGTGGGGGGGAAATCCAATTATAATTAAATCCATTGCCAATGATTTAGAGCAGTGGTTCCCAAACTTATTTGGCCTACAGCCCCCTTTTCAAAAAATTACTCAGCTCCCCTCTGGAAATCTACTTTGTTTAACCCTTTAATTTTTTTTTAAGTTGCATCATCTTGAAAAATATATATATTTTTAAAAGAAGCATCTTAAATTTAATAATTTATTGTAAATTTTTGTTTTTTTTCCTGTATTGAAATTTTGATGACTCAATACTGCATATGTAACTATATAGTATTGTATTATAAACGAGTCATTACATGCACACATTCCTGCCAATGCATGCTGGACTTTCCAACAATGCATGATAAGCTTGCCTGCCAATGCTTGCTTGTTAAGATCTGTTGGCAGAATTGACCACTGATCAGTTATAACTTGCATTTTGTGTGTTTATTTGGAAAATAATGGAATCACTATGACTTTAACTCTGTTACACAACAGATGAAACATGTATGCTTTTTCAAAGTTTTCTTATCTGTTCTTCTTTTCTTATGCTTCCACAGTCCCCTTATTTTTATTCAACACCTCCCAATTGCACCCGAGGCAACTATCAACCCCCCTGGATTGTTCCAGTGCCCCCCAGAGTATTGTCCACTTTGGGAATCTATGATGTAGAGGAAATGGTAGACTGCTTTTTTTTTTTATTAAGAGAGATTACAAAGCTGTCTTGGAACTCTCCATTACTCTAGAGCTGGTTATCTCAATGATATTTTATCCAGATTCTTCAACCTGCTTATCCCTAGTGCTGACCTTTTAAGAAGCCTAAGCTCTAGTCAGGGGAAGGTAGGACTTGAACTATGAACTAAATGATCTACATAAAGATAATTTATAGACCCAAACCCCAGCCTTTGGCTTTGCATGGACCAGGTTCAGTCTTGGAGATGTCTCAAAAATCACCCTCATTAGTTCATTTTGTCCCCACCTATAATTTTCTTGAGAGCCTCAGATTTGGGTTCATTTGCCTAGAGTTTTCTCTGGGAGTCATGAAATAGAGTTCCTAACTAGATCTTAACAGACGTGGATAAAAGGACCTCAGCTCTCATGAAGGTGCTCAATTCATATCATCATACAGGGCAGTCCTGTTTTCACCCAAAAGAAAATGAAAAGCAACAGGAATGACTCATAAGTAGCCCACAGTAATTGGCAAAAATTATTCTTCCCTCTCTGCCAAATCCTACTTCCTTAGGTAGGTGGCACAGTGGACAGAGAGCTGGATCTGGAGGCAGGAAGACCTGAGTTCAAATACAGCCTTAGATACTTACTAGCTGTGTGACCCAAGACAAGTCACTTAACTACTATCTGCCTCAGTTCACTCAATTATAAAAGGGGGAAAATAGCACCTGCTTCTGAGGATTGTTGTGACAATCAAATAAGATGGTGTATGTAAAGTTCTTAGCATGTTGCCTGTCACATAGTAGGTGCTTTTCATTTTCTTCCTTAATGCTTGCTTCCCTCTCCCCTCACAATCAATATGATCCTCGAGATTCATAGCACAACCCTGTCTTCTGGACTTCCCTTATTTCCCACTGGAAGACAATAAAACATTTGAGAATATTTATACACTGTTACTGGAACCATGAACTGATGCAATCATTCTGGAAAGCAATTTGGAATTAGGCTATGAAAGTGACTAAAATGTGTATACCTTTGACCTAGAGATTCTATTGCTAGGCATAAACAAACTTCCAAAAAGTCAATGAGAAAAAGATAAAAGGCTCTAATACAACAAAATATTTATAGCAACACTTTTTTGTTGTAAAAAGATTGTTGTAAACAGAGTAGATACCTGCTTGTGATAACAGGAATGTGATACCATATTACTGCACTATAAAAAAAATGCATATGAAGACCATAGGGAATTATGTAAAGACTTACTATGAGAAGGTCATAGGAGAGCATGGTTGTTCCAGGGTGAGGAAGTCCCAGGTTCTGAAGAAATTTCCAATGTTAGATAGCAGTTCAGGCATCAAAGTTTGGAAGTCAGAAGCAGAGCCTGGTAGAGAACGAAAACTGACCAATAAGATTATTACCCCAGTTCCTAATTAACACCAATTAACTCTGTGTGTGTGTGTGTGTATGTGTGTGTGTGTATGTGTGTGTACACACATATATATAATATTTTCCCCAATTACATGTTAAAACAAATTTTTATCATTTTTTGAAGTTTTGAATTCCAAATTCTATCCCTTCCTCCATTCCTACTCTCCTCCCTCCCCAAGACAATGAGCAATCATATATTGGTTATACATGTGCAATCAAGTAAAACATTTTAATATTAGCCATTTTCCATGAGAAGGCTTGAATAAAAAAATGAAAGAAAAGAGAAAAGAAGGATGGAAGACAGAAAAAGAAAGAAACAAAGAAAAGAAAGAAAGAAAGAAAAATAGCATGCTTTGGTCTGTATTCAGACAATATCACTTCTTTCTCTGGAGGTCAATAATATTCCTCATTATCAGTCCATTGAGATTGTCTTGGATCATTATATTGCTGAGAATAGCTAAGTCATTCACAATTCTTCATCATACAATATTGCTATTACTGTGTACAAATTTCTCCTGATTCTGCTCACTCTATTTTGCATCAATTCATGTAAGTCTTTCCAGGTTTTCTTCTGAAATCATCCTGCTTGTCATTTCTTATAGTACAACAATAACTATCATATGCCACAGCTTGTGTAGCCATTCCCTAATTGATAGGCATCCCTTTGATTTCCAGTTCTTAGCCACCACAAAAAGAGCTGCTATAAATATTCTTGTACAAATAAGTCATTTTCTTTTCTTTTATGTCTTTAGAATATAGACCTGGCAGTGGTATTGCTGGATCAAAGGGCATGCACCCTTAGGCATAGTTCCAAATTGTTCTCCAGAATTGTTGGATCAGTTCACAACTACACCAACAGTGCATTGGTGTCCCAGTTTTCTTGCATCTCTTACAACATTTACCTTTTTCCTTATTTTTTGTCACATTAGCCAATCTGATAAGTGTGAGGTGGTATTTCAGCATTGATTTAATTTGCATTTATCTAATCTATAGTGATTTAGGGAATTTTTTTCATATTCTTATAGATAGCTTTGATTTCTTTGTCTGAAAAATGCCTTTTCATTTTCTTTGATCATTTATCAATTGGGGAATGACTTGTATTTTTATAAATTTGACTCAGTTTTCTATATATTTGGGAAATGAGACCTTTATCAGAGAGACTTGTTGCAAAAAAAATTCCCAATTTTCTGCTTTCCTTTTAATTTTGGCTACATTGATTTTGCTTGTGTAAAAACATTTTAATTTTATATAATCAAAATAATCTATTTTACTTTTTGTATGCTCTCTATATTTTCTTTAATCCTAAATTCTTCCCTTATCCATAGATCTGACAAATAAACTATTCCATGATCTCCTAATTTGCTTACAGTATCATCTTTATGTGTAAATTATGTACCCATTTTGACCTTATCTTGGTATACTGTGTGAGATGTTGTTCTATACATATTTTCTGCCATGTTGTTTTCTGGTTTTCCCAAAAGGTTTTGTCAAATAATGAGTTTTTGTTCCAAAAGCTTGGATCTTTGGGTTTATCATATACTAGATTACTATGGTCATTTACTATAATGTAATTGGTACCTAATCTATTCCACTGATCCACCACTGTATTTTTCATCAATTAGCTTTTACAAAACTGATACTTGTTGAGGCAGCTAGATGGCGCAGTGGATAGAGCACCAGCCCTGATGTCAGGAGGACCTGACTTCAAATCCAGCCTCAGACCAAACACTTGACGCTTACTAGCTGCGTGACCCTGGGAAAGTCACTTAACCCCAATTGCCTAAAAAAAAAAAAAAAAAAAAAACCTGATACTTACCATAAAAATATAGCAAGAATTGAAATGTAAATATCTCTCCCTCAACTTGTGGAAGAACCTTTTTCTCTATTCTACCTTGTTCCCTGGGACAGTAGGCTCAAATTTACTGCAGTTTCTACATAGCAATTGCCTCAAGTTTGCTTCCAAATATAGAATGACTAATACATTCATGAGTCCACATCTCTCCAGGTTGAACAAGTTATTTCATGCCTCACTGTCTAGTTGCTGGCAAATCTTAGCATAGAAATCAGCTCCCAGATTATAATGGATCCTTACAAAGTCATAGCTGTCTCCAATATCTTTGGAGACCATAGTGAGACAAGCTGGTTTTATCCTACTGATGAGAGGTTTTCACCATAGTAATCTTGCTCAATATGAGAGGAAATTTAAAACAGGAAGGGATTCTTTGAGCTTCCCAGGGTTGTCTGATGCCTCTTTTGATAAGTATTTAATGTTTTACAAACTCACCCTTTATCCTATATAATAAGACACTTGGTAGAAGCCTGGCAAATGCATTTAACTGACTGGTAAAGAGGATAGTGTTTTCTTTCTGTTGAGACGTTTCTGTCATGGCTGACTCTCAGTGACCCCGTTTGTGTTTTTGTTTTTGGTTTTGTTTTTTTTTTCCCTTCAAAGATACTGGAGTAATTTGCCATTTCCTTCTCCAGCTTGTTTTACAGATGAGGAACTGAAGCAAACATTGCACCACATAGTTGCTTTAGTGTTTCATTTGGTTTCATGTAAATAGTTATGCTAAAGGCCTTTGTAATAATCTAAGCATCCTCTTTCTTTTTAATAAGTAGCTTTTCCTGTCTTATCCTCTATCCCTTTAGGGGCTTCCCAGTTTCCAAAGCAGGGTGATGGGACTGCAGAAGCTGCAACATGGAGCCTCTCCCTATCTCTTGTCCAAGGTTGGACAGATGAAACAGTACGGAAAAGATTGTGAACACAAAAAGAATTGATCAGGCTTTTGGGGTGATTTAAAAGGAAATAGAGAGGGGGCAGCTAGGTGGTGCAATGCATAGAACACCAGCCCTGGAGTCAGGAGGACCTGAGTTCAGATCTGGCCTCAGACACATTATACTTCCTAGCTTTGTGACTCTGGCAAGTCACTTAACTCCAATTGCCTCACACAACAAAAATAAACAAATAAATAAATAGAGAAAAGGTTATAGGGAGCTAGGAGTACCACTGGTGTCTTTGAAAATAAGCTGACTGATAACAACAAACTCAATTTTGTAGTGTTACCAGTAAATTTTGAGATTTTAACTGTTAGTTAAACTAATTAGTTAACTATTAGGACTATTAATGGTTATAAAATCTAGATCTGATTTGGTTGAAATCTATCCTGAAACTAAATCATAATGTGATCTAAATGTGTTTTCCTATCACGATAATTGTGGTAAATCTGAACTTAGTGCAAATTACATTTGCTATTCAGCATTAAGATAATATACCGAAAAACTCATGAATCAGGAAAAACCTAATTCAAAATCTGGTCTCAGAATTTTTTTTTTAACTATGTGACTTCAAACCAGTTACCTCACCCTCATGTCTATCTCAGTTTACTAATCTTTAAAGTGGATAAAAATAATACCTACCCCCCAAATTATTGGGAGAACCAAATAATATAGTGATTGTGAAGTGCTTAGCATAGTGCCTAACATAAATTTGGAAAATCATTGCATTAGAAATATCATTAGAAACGTAAATTCTCTTTTAATTTGGATTCTCTTGGATTATAGATTCAATTGTTAAAAAAAGATATAAAAATGTTTGAAAATTATTTATTTAGAAATATAATAGACCATGGTAATAATTTTCTATAAATTTGATATAGCAAAGATCTCTTAAAATGGCCTTATCTGTGAAATGCAGTCCTAAGATCTTACCAGTCCTGCTAATGGTTTAAAGTGATTAAGTCTGAGAAATGTGCTGGAATCTTGCAACATACTGGCAACTGGGCAAAACTTTAAGATTTTAAGAACTAGCCCCACCCCAGGCTAGATTAATTTAATTTTAGTTGGGAGTGATGACAATAAGTTTTATGGTTCCTCATACTCATAAAATCATAGGTCGTTGTAGAAATTATAAAAAGGAGAGATTCAATCCCTATCTCTGCCCATTACACCACATTGCCCTAAGAATCATAAAATCTTAACTTTTTAGTATACTAGGTAACTGTTCTAAAATTAAAAACTTCAGGGCAAACCTTGCTAATTTGTTCAAGAAGAAGGTGTTTAAAACATTTGACATTAAAATTTTATATATACAAGAAACTTCATAGTGCGATTTGAATTGATATGTTAGCATGAGATAAATAATAATAGACTGTTTTCCAATTGTACCCTAGTCTTAAAAAGTTATATTGGTTTTCTGGGAAGCTAGGGGAGAACCCATAAGTTGCTTAGAGTATAAAAGTGACTTTATGATGATTTGTGATTATGAAAATAAAGATAACTGTCCTAGCCCCATACCATGATCACTGAAATTTTGCTAATTTTGTTAAATCTCATGGGACTTTAATTAAATATTGCTTTAAGTTTTGAATTTAGGTATAAGTGTCTGAATGATCTTTAAGTCAATAATCCATCATTTGAGGGAAATGCCACTAGTTGCTCAAGGGAGTCTCACCTGAGAACCTCTACAGACGGATGTTTGTGCCTGAGGGCATGATCTTGGCATAACTAAGGTGGGATCCTCTTGAAATAGTTTTCCTATTGTGCCCTTTCCTTTTTTGGACAGGAAATTTTCCCATCTGGCTAATTCTGAGCCTGGCTAAAATACCCTATTAACAACATGATTGGCTGATGAATATGACTCTCACCTGGACTCAAACTGAGCTTAAACCCTCCTTCTCCCTGTTATATACATAGAAATAAAAATATTGAAAATAACTACATAAATGCAAGACAATTGGGGAATGGGGAATATAGGTACTGACAGGAAGGATGCCATGTAGAGGGTGGCCCTTAGCTGATTTTTTTAATAAAACAAAGGCTTATGGCAAGCTATGCAAAGGCGCAGAGATAGGAAAATGGAGTGTCATGAGGAACCAGGGGTACACCATTTTGGCTGAACCACAAAGTGAATTAAGGGGAGCAGTGTGTTATCAGGCTGGAAAGGTAGGTTAGAGGCTTTTTGTGTTGTTGCTGTCATTGTTATTCAGTTGTTTTATCTGACCCGTTGTGACCCCATTTGGGGTTTTCTTAGCCAAGATACTGGAGTGGCTTGCCATTTCCTTCTCCATCTCATTTTACAGAAGAGGAAACTGAGGCAAACAGGGTTAATGACTTGCCCAGGGTCACACAGCTCTGAGACCAGATTTGAACTCAGAAAGATGAATCCTCTTAACTCCAGGCCCAGTGCTCTATTCATTGTGTCACCTAGAATCTTTTTGTGAAGGACATCAATTCTTACTTTACATTGCAAGTTGAGTCTCTTACTGCCAGTAAAACTAAAACTTTCTAAGCCCATATGCATCATCCCCAATACCCTAAGACACAGAATGGCATAGTGGAACTTGAAAACATGAGACTCAAAAACTTCTGGATTTGCCTCAAGATAATTATATTTGGAACAAATTATATTACTAGACCTCAGTTCCCTTACCTGTAATATAAAGAATTTGGACTAGATAATTTCTAAGGTCTTTTCAAGATGTAAGGTCCTATTATTCTATGATTCCAAACTCCTTTCCCCAACCTATCTACCAGTTCACTGACTGCCTCAGTCAATCTGAGATCTGTTAAAGACCTTAGCTTAAAAAGGCCAAAGTCCCCCACTTCATTCTGGGCCATCTCCAATTGTCCTCATGCATATCTGGCCATTGGACCCAAATAGCTCTGGAAGAGAAAGGGAGGCTGGTGACTTTGCACAGCCCTTCCTCACTTAAATCTGATTCACTTGCGTGTCATGGCATCACTTCCCTGATGTCATGGTCCTCTTTGAGAATGAAGGACAAACAACAATCTATTCACCATTAATAATATCCACAAATCACGCTGTTGTTGACCCGATGCAAAATGAAGTGAACAGAACCAGGAGAACACTGTACATAATAACAGCAACATTATGTGATGAATGACTATGAATAATTTAACTCTTCTCATAATACAATGATCCAAGACAGTTCCAAAGGACTCATGATAGAAAACGCTATCTACATACAGAGACAGAACTGATGTAGTCTGAATGCAGATTGAAGCATACTATTTTCACTCTTTATTTTTTTTTTCTTTTGGTCTGTTTCTTCTCTCACATGACTAATATGGATATATGTTTTACATGATTGCACACAAATAACCTATATAAAATTGCTTACCTACCCTTGTACAGAGAAGGTACAGGAGGGAGGGAGGGAGAAAATTTGGAATTCAAATTTTTTAATGAATGTTAAAAATAGTCTTTACATGTAATTGGAAATAATAAAATATTATTTATAAAAAAATAGCTAAGCCGCTATAGGATGATCTTACTGGATGGTGTCTCTGGGTGACCCAGGTAAGCTAGAGATAGGGGCAAAGGAAATAAAAGAAACAGAATGAAAAATAAAGGGAAATGAGGGTGTTATACAGTGGATTGGAAGTAAGAAAGATGAAAGAGAGGATGGCAGGGAAAGAGAAAAGAAAGATCAATAGATTGAGAGGGGGAGTGGTAAGAGTAGAAGGTAGAAACTGAAAGGCTGATTGCAACTCAGATTTTTTGGTTATTAGAATAAAGTGCTTACTGTGTGCAGAAAACAATGGTGTTGAATGAAACACATAGTTTAGGTCCTAAGGGTCCCTGTACTTAGGCAGTTTATAGTCTAGTTGTGGTACGATGCAAACCAGAATATTGTGATGTATAATAGAGAAAATACCAAAGAGCCAGATGAAGTCTAAAAGGGAAGTTTGATTCCAGGAACAAGGCTCTGAGAAGGCCTGATAGAGGAAGTGGAATCTGAGTTGAGATTTAAGGAGTTCAGTAGGCAGAGGAGGGAGGCATCATATTCCAAGAATAAGAAAAAACCTTACAACAGGCATATAGGTGAGAAAGCGTAGGATGTGGACATGCAGTTTGGCTGAAACAAAGAATGAGTAGAGGAGAGTAATAGGCTATAATGCTGGGAAAGTATGGTGGTAATAGATTGTAGAGAGCCTTGAATGTCAAACAGTGGAGTTTCAACTCAAGTTAGTAGATAATAGAGAATCATTGAAGATTTCTGAGCAGGAGAGTGGCATGACCAGGTCTCCATGTTAGAAACAGTATTCTAGGATGAAGACAGGAAGCCTTGCTTAGAGTGGGGAGTATAGGCTATAAAGCCTGTTAAGAGTATTGCAATAGTCCAGAAAGGTGGTAATAAGGGCCTGTCATCAGATAGGGAATATTGAGACTAGAAATAGATTTCAAAGAGATTGCAGGGGTTGAATCTATGGGACTTGATAAACAATTGGATTTAAGAGGCAATGGAGGGGAAGAGTCTAAGATAATACTAAGTTTATAATCATAGAAAACTCTGTATAATTGACAAAAAATAGCAAATTTGGAAAAAGAATCAGGCTTGGGGGTAGGGGATGAAGGAGTAGAACAAGTAATAAAAAAGTTTGCACAGGTCCCGGGGAGAGTATTTGAATCACTGGGTGAATGTTAAGGTGAGGAAAATTTCAGGTCAGTATGAGGAAGAATCTTATAATATTTAAAGCCCTTTGATAGTGGGATTGGCAGCGTCATGAAATTTTGAGGTTCACGTAACCAGAAATATTCAGATACAGAATCAGGATCTTGATGGGGATACAGTAGAAGGTATTCATGCATCCAACAGAGCATCGGACCTCTAAGATTCGTATATCCCACATTCAAAGGCCTTCCAGAGAGTAACGTGCTCTTCCTTCACTGTATTCACATCACACTCTAACATGCCCCAACTCATCGTATCATTATATCATATCCCCATTCCACCCCATGCCTACATAACTTGTTCTTCCTCAGATCTGAGGCATCCCCTGCCATGTCATTCTGAGGATCAGAGAACCACAGGTCTAGGGCTGGAAGAGACCTTAGATGCCATTTTCGTTAACCTGTACCCCGATCCCTCATTTTACAAATTAGAAAACTAAGGTCAAAGAAAGTTAAGTAACTTACCCAAACTTACTCAGGTTCTGGCAGGGGCAGAATTGGCAAAGTCCTCTGAATCCCCATGGTTCGAATGCTACCCTTTCCACTTTCTGAAAAGCCACATCCATGTCATTTACACTTTTTTTTATTTGCCCTAGCTTGCAAAATGCCTCTTTTATTTTTTTAAATGAATTTGTTTTCAGCACATGTCAACAGATTGTTTCCCCAACATCCCTTTATGCTACTAATTCCTGGCAGCCACTTATGCAAGTTAAATTCAAGGATTGAAAAAGAATGAAGAAAAAATAAAATCATCATTAAGCAGATATTCAGATATTCAAATCAAATGCTCTCCAGAAAAAAAAAAATACGAGTTGCCTTTAATCTCAATTCTGCTACACAGCACCTATGCAAGATATACAAAGAGCCCTGTGCTCCCCTACAGACACTGGGTTTTCTTCCATATCAGGCTATGTTTCAGTCAACTGCTGGGCATTGGCAGCCTCTATTCAGGGGTCACATCCCTTAACAAAGCACAGCAGGAGGCATACCCCAGGCAGACAAAAACACCTTCTTGTTTCTATCAGCAAGTCTCTCCTCAGGTCTGAAATTACTCTTGGGCTACTGCCAATGACTTTGTATGAGCTCCAGAAAAGAGCATTATTTCCCTGTAAGGGGTTACATGGATTCTCATTCAGAACGGCAAGAGGAAGGCTGTGGGCCTCTCTTTATTTCCAAGACCCAGATACTGAATACCACATTTTGCTGCATAATTGTCACAGATTTTATGCCAAAACTGTTTGCAAAAAAAGTGGGGTGCAACTGTTATGTGAAGCTTTTTTTTTATTTTGTGCCATTATTACTTAAAAATTATTTATTACTAAACTGTCTTTGGTACAAGATTAGGATGTACGGAATACTTGTGAATATACATAAAACTGAATAGTCCAAATCAACGCACGTCATTTCTTCGCGATAGTTTAGCAACATTTTTCCTGTCTGAAAAATAAAGTTAACATATTAGTTGTTATTGATTTGTTCACCGTAGTCAAAATATTACACTTGAGAAAATTTACTACAGTGCTTCAAAGTATGGCCTTAGAAAATTTAGTCTTCTGTATTCAAAGATTCTACACCGCTTTCATTGGTTTCGTCATCTAACGCACCAACCACAGCTCCACTCATATCAGATGTGTTTACTTCATCATTGCTCTGCCACAGTACGCTGTCTTCAGATCCATCTAGAACATTCGAAATTCCCATCTTTTTGAAGCTTTTGATGACTGTTTTGTGTAGTATAGGGTCCCAACTCTTAATTACCCATGGGCATATCAGTTCCAAGAAAGGGGGCTTAATATTTCCAGCATATGTCAATTGGTGTTCATTGCTCATTGCCCACTCCTTGTAGAAACCATACAAGTGGTCTTTAACTGGTTTGTTTACACACAGACAATGCAAATGCCCTGAGAGTTCTAGGCTCTCAGCTAGCAATGTGAGAGAGACAAATCCGCAATCATATGCCACTGGTGAATACATTGCTGCTCTGTTTACCTTTTAAGTGACTTGACAAATAGAATTATGCCATGTGACTGTTATGTGGTGAAAGGTTACAAACGAATTTTTGGACTGAAAAAATAGGGTGTGACAATTATGCAGCAGCAATGACTATGTGGTGAAATACAGTAGATCCTTTGGCTTAGAAAACTGCTCTTTGCAATAGGTAGCAGTTGACTGCATAGTTAATCATCCCCAGTGGGTTTGGCATTGTCCTTTCTGTAGTTTACAACTAATGTTATATTATATATTCACACATACACACATCAGTATATGGGAATATGTTGACTGAGTTCCCTTTTCCTCAAGAGAATTAAGTTTAATTGGGGGAATGCAAAGGCCCTTATAATAGATAGAAAACCTCTAGAAAATCTAATCTCATTTTTTTCTCTCTCTCTTATTTTTTAAAAAGGTTTTTTTTTTTAAATATTTGAAATCAAACAGAAACTTGGAGGGAAAGGAGACACATTTTAAAAAAAAGAATCTCAATCAGTCCCAAATAAGGAAAACATGTTTTGTTTTACTTTTCCTCTGTTTAACAAATCTTAAGACATTAAGCTAGTTTGGGGCCTATATTTCTGGTGCATGGTTTATTGCAGTTCACCAAATATTTTGCTTTGAGTTCGTCTGCCTCAGTCATTTGTTTGGAATTGTCAGTGCTGACTGCTGTGGGAAGTAGACTATGATCCAGATTTTTGTATACAAAGGTTCAGGTTTCACAAACTTTAATAGAAGAGGAGTAGAGTGAATAAAGGGGAGAGAGGGGAAGGACAAAAGAGAGAATGTGAGAAAGGAGCAGGAGAAAAGGGGAAAGAGGTTCCTAGGACAAAAAACAGGCTTTTTTATCTGACTCTAAGAGGCAGCATGGCATAATGGATAGAGAGATGACTTGGGTTCCCACCTTTCTCTGGCACCCACTGTTCGTGTGACCCTGGGCAAATCAGTTAACTCCTCAGTCCTCTAAGCCAGTAGTGTCAAATTCAAATAGAAACAGGGTCACTAAACCATACATAAGGATCTCTGTGGATAACATTTTGACTTAGAAAACTACATGTTATCTTCATCTATATTCTACTGTGTTTTTATTTATTTTGTTAAATATTTTCTAATTACATTTTAATCGGATTGACTGAATTTGGGAGTGTTGCCACATCACAGCCTGTCTGCCTGGTAGTGGGCATCTCTGCTCTAAGCAACTCTCTAAGACACCAAGTGGCAGAAAACGGGTTGCCCTGTATTTGAAAAGGGAGTTTCCTCACCAAGAAGTTCTTAGTGAGGAAATGAAATCAGATCCATTCCCCACCCTATCTGTATTTGCAGGGGCAACCAGGTGTCGCAGTGGATAGAGTGCCAGGCCTGGAGTCAGGAAGATCTGAGTTTGAATCTGGTCTCAGACACTTACTAACTGTGTGACCCTGGTCAAGTCGCTTAACCCTGTTTGCCTCAGTTTCCTCTTCTGTAAAATGAGCTGGAGAAGGAAATGGCAAACCACTGTAGTATCTGTACCAAGAAAACCCCAAAGGGGGTCACAAAGATTTGGATACAACTGAAAAACAATTAAACAGATCTATATTTGTATGACAGGCTTCATATTTGAAGATATACTTTATTTTATTAATTATCTATCTGTGTGATTAAGATGTCTCTTCTCTCAAGCTTTCACTCTGACTCCACCCCTCACACAGACATGCACTGACTCATTAGCATTCTCTCTGACAATTAGAAGAGTCTCATGCAAAATTTCCCACCTTGTCTGGAAACCTGAGTGACACACACATTCTCTATCCATGTCTTAACTAAGTCATATTGTGAGCTCCTTGAGGACAGGTACTGTCTTTTGCCTCTTTTTGTATCCCCAGCACTTAGCACAGTGCCTGGCACATAGCGGGCACTTAATAAATGTTTATTGAATTTAATTGTGCTCCAAAGATTGCATTACTGGCCCTAATGCTTCCTAGCTAGCTGTAGGTAAATTACTTCATATATCTGAGTTCCAGTTTTACCATTTATAAAATGGGAAAGTTATTACTTATACTTCCTATCCCACCCAACCAGCCATCCAGAAGCCAGGGCCTACCCAGAATCAGCATCTTGTATTTTTCTTACAGTGTCCCCTCTCTCCCTGACCTCACAAGCTGAACTAGGACCTCCAGAGACCTTGGGAAATTTAATATACCCAGTCTTGGCAATTTGCCCTGGGTCTAAGCTTTCCTGATTTGTGGTCAAGTAAAACCTCAACTAACTTAATCTATCTAGTTGGCTCCAAACTGATCTTTGTGCCCCATTCACCCAACCAATACAAAACTTGAATCAACCCAGTCTAAGCATCTCGCCATCTAGATATTCAGCGATATCTTCCCCACCACCAACCTTTGCCACAACAATGTTCCCATTCTCAGTTTTTTTCTCTTATCCTGAGAATAATAATCAAATGAGTGTTATCATTGCTTCTTTGATACTAGAAAGAATGTAACAAGTTTGTAAATATTATAAACCTTGAAGTGCTCTAGAAATGTGTGATATTATAATGAAATACTGGTGTTAAAAATATGTGTGTATAGGTGAAGAGCAATACTGCATAAATTTCCAAATGCCCGTTTTTTTTCATTTATTCATTTCTGGCCATATTCATTTTCTATCATCAAATCTTGTCCAAGACAGATGCATTTATCTGGCAGAAATTGGACTTTGGTATTTTATACCATATTCTAATTCAAAATGGATGTATGATCTGTATATTAGAAATAAAACCATAAAAAATTAGAAGTAGATCATAAATCTTTCATAGCTATGGGTAGAAGATGAATTCTTAGCCAAACAAGGGATAGAGGCAATTATAAAAGATAAAATAGTTATTTTGATTTATGTGAAATATAAAAGCTTTTGTACAAGCAAAATTAATTCACTTAGGCTAATAAGGGAGGATCTTGGTCACATAAGCAACAAGATGGCAGACTAGACATTTTCTATGATCCCCATGACCTCTCAGACCTCTCCAAAACAGAAATTATGGATCAAAGATAAAGCTACTTCAACTGTTTCCATGGTCTAGGACACCCAGAATCCAAAAGAAGGTTTAAAAAAAAACCCTAAAAATCCAAGAACTCTTGTTCACTGATTCTGACCTCATTTAGTAATCCTCTCCCATTTCCTATGCTACCAGTAGTGAATTTATACCAATAGAACCAAGGACATAATACAGGCTCAAATCAAAACCAAAACCAACCCCTATATCTCTTCTTCCCCTCCCTTTTTCGAGTGCTTTAAAGATCCTGGCTCCAGGTGTGGAAGTTTGTTCAGGCCTCAACTGCCAGCTTGGTGATAGCCCTTTAAGAGCAAAAGGCTGCCAAGGTCTAGAACCTGGAAGCACCAGTGCTTCAAACCTCTGAATCACCAGTGCCAGGAAAAGCAGTTTCTGCCAGTGTCAAGCCAGGAAACTAAGGAACAGAGGGAGAGGGATAGGTCACCAAGACAGGACATCCTGAATGTGGGAAGCTGTACAGTACTCTAGCTGCGAGCAGTTCCGGCCATCCAAAAGTCAGCTGGGACAGAG